AACAATAGATATTCAACCCCAAACCTAGGAAGCTTAGATAACAGTGGGCAGGCACTCCTAGTAGTAGTAGAGACTAACTACTTTAGAAAAATCTAAAGCAACAAAAATATAGAGAAGATAAGGTGAGGTTTGAGCACCTTGCAGGCAGGAAAGTACATTAAGCCTTTGCTTTAGAAACCCTTAAGGCGGCAAGGAAAAACTACCAATATGGAGGGAATCCCCTGTCTAGTGAAACTGTCAGTAATGGCCGGGACAGATGCTCAGCTCCACACTGTCACCTGCAGTAGTCTGTGGAGTTCCCCTTGTCTTTCAGGGACCACTGCTCTGGTGACATTAGATACTTGGCACTGAATAGAATTTCAGGATGAGCCAGTATGAAACAGAGTTGGAGTTCAGTGAAAAGGCATTTTAATAGAGATCTTGAGCACTAGAATTAAGAGAAAGAGAGGCACTGGAGAAGGAAGTAAGACCTACCTGAGAGCTTGGGTGTAGGCTTCTCAAGGGAGAGTCAGTCAGATATCATTTCCCAGTGCTGAGTATATAGGAATTTGAAGATTTTTGGAATTTCATTGTTCATCCAGCTTCTAAGGGAACTCCTCCATCTCTATTATATGGTGGCTGTGGAGGTTCCTTGGATAGGATTACAGTGTAATATGATAAAACCAGAAGCTACTAGGGTTGCACAAGAGGGTTAGTATCCATTTACTGTAAGGGGTTTCTGGTGAGGTTTTTAGAAAGTGCAGGTTCCTAGCTGTGAAGGGAGAAAGACCTGAAGCAAATGTTAACTTGAAATTCTTAATTCTCCACTGTTGAGAGGCTTCAACCTGACTTCTGCAGTGAGGGACTTTCCCTTTTAATGTCCCCAACCCATGCCCCCATAATTCTCCATGTCTTTCCATCCTGCCTCAAACAAGAAGAAATATTTTCTCAAATGAATGTTAACAGAGGGAATTTTAAATGTTAAAAGTTACAAAAAAACATTATTACAAGTTGTTTACATGGTAGGAAAAAAATACTGGTTAGAAAAAATACTGGTTGCACATAAAGAGTTTTAAGACAAGGAGTAAGTAACAGGGCTTCTTAGTCCCTTCTGCCGAGATGTTGAATAATGTTGACCAGATCTTATTTGATTATTGGCTTTCCAAAGAAATAGAAGAGGCTCAGGTTGGTAGTTCGCTGTAATCTCAGTATTTTGGAGGCAGAGGCAAGGAGGATCACAAGTTCGAGGCCAGTCTGGGCTATGTAGGCTACCCCTTGACTCAGAAAAACAAAACAACAGAAAAAAAAAAAAGCTCAACTTCCCCGAGCTACAGCTATGACTTCTTTATTTAAAGATGCCAAAATGGGCAGAGACTCTCTCTTCTCTGGCTTACAGAAGGGAGCAAGCTACTCCAAAGACTATCTTACTTTAAACAGGAAACCAGAGTGTGGTCGCAGTTGTCTTTCTCCCTGCTCTACGCATGTCAGTATTGTATCTTGTACATTATGCAGCAGAGCATTTTTTTTTAACTAACCAAATGAGTTCATTGTACTTATGCATGTGAGGGGTTACTTATAACAGTAAAGGTGACCCGATGGCAGCTGCGTCACACCAAAGCCCACCCCAACATGGGTAAAGACACAAAAGCTGCAACCCTGGTGCTCCCTGCAACGTGCAGGCAGCTTGACAGGTTGGAGAGGCTCCTCCAGGCAGCTCTGCAGAACATTTTCTTATAGTATTGTAATGCTGCTTAAATTGTGTAATCATTTTTACAACAGTCAGAAGTTAAAGAAAAAATAAATATTTTAAACATAGATAGACATCATGAATTCTTTAAAACCCCCAAATTGTAAAGTTTCAATTTAGAAATGAAAAGGCTACCGCAACATCTTACAGGTTTAATATATCTTATTTCAAACATTGGATATTTTAATCCATATACACAAAAAGGTCTTTGGGTCCTCTTTCTTACTTATTTTTTTAATCTAAAAAGAAATGGGTTTGATGTTTGGACCAGAAATATTAGCAAGTCCTGTGAGGAATGATCTGGGTAATATATCCCCTCTTGGCTAAGAGCTTGTAGCCTGGGGAACACACTCCTATCCATTCAATCTGATTCTAACATCCCATCTCATCTAATCCAATTTCCATCCCATCCTGTTCCATTCCATCATTCCCTTCCTTACCATCCCAAAATTCCAAACCATTCCACCCCCAAATTCCATTCCATTCCATTCCGTTCCATTCTAGTGTTTCCTACCTTCCAATAGTCTACTCATTTCCTCCCTGTCTCTTTCTGTCACTGTAATGATATACCTGAGATAATTATAAAGCAAAGAGTTGTTTTTTTGGCTCATGGTTTTGGAGATCCTACAATCAGGCAGACCCACTGTTTGGGTTTGTGACCAGGGAGCACATTGTGGCTGAAGTGAATGGAACAAAACCAATTCTCTCATGGGTCAGGAAACAAAAAGACATAGATGAGAGCCTAGGGTCTCCAGTCCCTTTGAAGCTATGTCCCCAGTGACCTGAGAGGGCTACCTTCCAAAGGTCCGCTACACCTTGCAGTAGCACAACCCTGGAGATCAGGCATTCAACACATAGACTGTTGTGGTACATGTTACATCCAAGCTATAATAATGCTGATCTGAATGTCAAGATTGCAGACTATGACATCTGCAATGAGTTTGGTTTTGGAAAAAAGCTAGGTCCCTTTTATTGTAGATCCCTTCTTCTAGGATCAAAATTACAATGGCCCTGTGTTGGGTATGAAAAGCCTAGGAGTCATCCTCTACATGATGATCACTGGGTCCCTGCTATTTAATGGATGTTGCAGAAGTGTTTGTGGTTTATGAAAATTTGAAAGAATTAATCCTCAACCTCAGAGAGATGAACACTGTACTCATGGGCAAATGGAAGGTGTAAAGAGGAACCTAGTAGCTTACTTGGAGCCACTGACTGCCATAACCTCCCAGCTGAGATGCTGTTTTCTATGGGGTAGGAATCAGATGGGATTCAGGACTCATTCTGGACCAGGAGTAAGATGAAGCAGTAGCCAGTTGTCAGGTCTTGGGCTCGAAGACACCTTTAGTTAAAGGGTTGTGCCACCACCATGAAATCCCTGCCTAGTTGAAAACAGTGGAACTGATCGGTGGTGGATTGTAGCAAGAATGAATTTAGGAAGTTTGAGCTGCATGCCTGTATTTCTTCTTATGGATCAGGACTCTGGAAATAACAAAGAAAAGAGAAACATGTCTAACATACAAGGATTCATTGTTCAGAGTGAAGAGTTCCACAAACAATGTGAAAACTAAACAATAAAAACGGCAGTGTTTACAGGGACAGAGTTAATAATTTTCTTAAGAGAGATTTTATTTGGTGTTATTTATTTGAGATAAAAATCTCACTATATAGTTTAGACTCGCCTTCAAGTGTAACCCTGGCTTTCCTGGAACTTGTGATCCCTTTCTTCCTGCCTCTGCCTCCTCAGTGTTGGAATAATAGAAACGTGTCACCAGCCTAGCTCTTATAAGAGATATTCAGAATGAAGCAACAAATCCATAAAAACATTCAAAAGTCATGAAAGTACAATTCTCACACATTGCAGGTTGAAACCAGTTTATTCTACATACAACATGTTACATATTAATAGATTATTTTTACTTGGCACTGCTGATGGGAGATGGCCTAGTTAGGTTTCTATTGCTGTGATAAAATACTCTGATGAACACCAACTTGAGGAGGAAAGGGTTTATTTGCCTTACAGGTCCTTCCCTCATCATTGAGGGAAGCCAGGGCAAGAACTCAAAGTGGGAACCTGGAGGCAGAGACTGAAGTCAGAAACTGAAGCAGTGACCAAGGGAGGAATGCTGCCCACTGGCTTACTCCTCAGGCCTGTCCTCAGTCTTCTTTCTAGACAACCCAGGATCTTCTGCCCAGGGGTGACATCATCCACGTGGGCTGAGATTTCCCACATCTCTCAACAATCAAGAAGATGCCTCACAGACATGCCCACAGGCCAGTCCCATAGAGGAAATTCTACAATTAAGTTTCCCTCTTCTCAAATTTGTCAAGTTGACAACTGAAGCTGTCCAGCACAGGAGGATATGTTGATAGAGGTTTCTGCAGGACAGTTTGGTGTGCATCCACCTTACTCTTTGAATTTAATGAAACCAAATAGTTGGGTTAAAGTGTATAAGTAGTTTGTATAATAGAGTTCATTGTTGTTGTAATAGGTCAAAATTGGGTCATGTAAATGTCACTTACAGAATAATTATTTTATCAGTACAATGGAAAACCAAGCAACCATGAAAATAATGTAGACTTCTTTAACAAACAGAATGATGCCATTATATATGTACTTTAGGTGCAAAAATCATGTTGTGCTTACCTAGTATATGACATTTTTTATGACACAAGCAGTGACATCTGTTAGTAACATCCAGCTTGAAGAAAACTGTATGTTTGGTATATGTATATACCAAAAACATTTAAAAGGGCCAGTTATCTCAGTGGTGCTTTTAATTTTGGTCACACTGGAGTGGCCTTAAAAAAAAAGAATTTTTTAAATTTTATGTGTATGAGAGGATTGCCTGCATGTGTGTAAGTGCACCCATATCCTGCAGTGCCCATGGAGGTCAGAAGAGGGCATCGGATCCCCGGAACCAGAGTTACAAATGGTTGTCAGCTGCCATGTGGGTGTTGGGAATCAAACCTGGGTCCTCTGCGAGAGCAGTCAGTGCTCTTAACCACCGAGTCATCTCTCAGCTCTAACAGTAGCCTTTTTATGAACCGAACGGAAGTGGTGGAGCTCGCAAATAAGGCAGGCAAGTGGTGGGAAGATGACGCGCCAGGAGACCTCAGGCGGAAGTTGGCCCGTGGGCATTCGGAACCCAAGTGCTGGCACTGCTGGGGCCGGGGGAAGGCGTGAGGGGCGCGCTGCGGTCCGGAAAGGAAAGGTGGGCGCGCTGTCGTCCTGGTAGCGGCCTCCTCAGGGTCCAGCCACCACCGTCCCTGCGCCATGAAGTTCCGGGCCAGGATCGCCAGTAGGCGTTCCCTGGAGCTCTTCATCCAGGTCAGCGGCACCTTGGCGAAACTGGCGACGGTCTGCGTGCTCCGCGTGTGCCCGAGCAAGCTGTACTTCTGTCCCGGGGGCCCGGGCGGCCTGTGCGAGCCCCGGCTGTGGTGCGAGGTGCGGCGGGGCGCTTTCCACCGGTTCTGCATGGAGGGCGCGTCGCAGGAGCGCGACGAGATCTACCTGGAGCTGGTGTCCGAGCACCTGGCCGGGGCGCTGCGCAACGTGGCTGGCGCGCCGTCCGTGAAGCTGCAGCTGACGAACAAGGAGCGGCCCTGCCTCACCGTGACCGTGGAGCTGCAGGCGCGGCCCGGCCACGCGCGCGTGCTCGTGCACGACCTGCCCACGAGGGTGATGCCCCAGAGATGGTGGGCGGCGTACGCGGAGCCGCACGTGCCCACCCCCGACGCCAGCATCTACCTGCCGTCCCTGAAGACCCTGAGGAGCATGGTGGAGCGCATGGCGCGCATGGGCAGCCACGTGCAGCTGGAGGCAGATCTGACCGGCAGGATGAACCTGAGCGTGGAAACCGAGCTCGTGTCCGTTAAAAGCTACTTTAGGGACCTGGGAAACCCGCCCGCGTCTGCGCTGGCACGACCTCGAGATCGAGACCCTGAAAGTATGGCGCGAGTGCGCGTGGAGAATAGGTGTCTTCTCCAGGTCTTAGAGGGCCAGCAGGTGAACCCCACGACGGCCTTGTGTAATGTCTTGAGCGACACTATGCTGCACTTTGTTTTGATTCATGAGGAAGTCTCTCTTCAGTACTTCATTCCTGCCTCATAGAAATTCAACCGGCTTTAAATTTCATTAATAAAGCTTAGGTCTCGTCAGAACTGAGGCGCTCCAGTTAATTGGGTTGAGCTGCACCTCCCCAGTGGATTACAGAGGGCCTATATTTCGTAGAGACTTTCCTTTGTAAAATTTATGTTAAGAAATAGTTGGAGTAATAGTTCATAGGCTCATTTTTTTTTTTTTTTGGCTTTGATAGCCAAAATGATATTCAGCTTTGTTGTTTTGGATAAAAGGATTGTAACAGAATAAAATACCTTTAACTCCTGAAACAGTTGCCCCATTTTATTATGAAATACTGTGAAGAATGGGAAATTTCTCCTTTTAAAATGAGTATACATATTTTCTGAGAGACTTAAAGAGCTCAGTCTATATGAAAGATATAAGATGGATTTTATGCTTATATACATACTTGTTAAACTATGTTTTAGCTGGGTTCCAATTGAGGTGGGGAGTTCCTCAGTTTGAAAAAATTCCAAGGTCTTCAGGTTTTGTGTTTATGCTATAGCAGTGTACATTTGACGGCTGAACAACATGGATTTGAACCTAATAGGTCCACTGATACACAGATTTGTGTGTGTGTGTGTGTGTGTGTGTGTGTGTGTAGATTTGTAACATAAGTTCAGAGGAGTCCTGCAGCATAAAATATTTAAAAATTAACAAACTGTCACAAGTACATAATGTATATGTAGATTATAGTCTTGGCATTTGGTACCATAAAGAATATATAAATATTTTTAGTTGCCAGGCATGGTGATGTAAACCTTTAATCCCAGCACTTGGGAGGCAGAGGCAGGTGGATCTCTGAGAGTTCAAGGCCAGCCTGGTCTACATCTCAAGTTCCAGGACAGCTGGGACTGCAGGGAGACTCTGTCTCAAAAAGACACCCCTCCAAAAAAATATGTTCAGTTAAAATTTATCAGAATTTAAGTACATAAACAGTTCAAACATGGTAGCATTCACAGTGGAGAGAAATGGAAAGATGCAATATGATGACAGACTAAACTGTGGTATATACTGTACTACTAAAAATTTCACCTCTATGGCTATTGTGGGAAGTCTGAAGTTATTTACAGATTTTCTACTGCATGGGGTTGTTACCCACAACCTCCATTTGTTCAGGGTGATACTGCCTATGCTTCTGATTTGTCATCTACACAGTTTGATTTGGTTAATTATTGGGTCCATTTTTCCTATGTATTATATTCACTTAAGGGATTGTTTTATGAGTTTTCTTGAGGAGACGTGAACAAACATCTATTTACTCCAGATAGGGAGGGCACCGACAGATAATCTAAAGAGTTAGCTTAGGAGTGTACTTGGGTTATGGGAGAATGGATGGATTCAAAGTCACCTCATCATGGAAAAGCCTACCCCAGCATAGGTGAGGACTCAAGAAAGCTGCATCCCTGGGGTTCCTTGCCCAACTTGGAGTCAGACCATACCAGAGGCTCCTTTCTCACTGCTTGTTTACAGCTTACATAACCTTGAAGAGGGGCACTGTTAATTTTGTAAGTTTTATCAGTCTTTTAAATTTCTTTAGCTTTATGAGTCTTATGTAAGTATCCTTGGAGGAAGGGATGCTGCTACTTGAAGGAAATAGCTATACAACAAGGATCAAAAATACAATTTGGGCGCTAGAGAGACGGCTCAGTGGTTAAGAGCACTGGCTGCTCTTGCAGAGGACCTGGGTTCAGTTCACAGTGCGGACATAGTAGCTAACCACCGCCTGCAATCCCAGGATCAAGAGCTCTGATGCCTTCTTCTGGTCTCCTTAAGCATTGCGCTGCATGGGTGTACTTACATGCAGACGGAACACCCATATGCATATTTTTTTTTCAAAAAAAAGAATATGGTTAATTTTGTGTGGGCCAGGATTTGGGGTAAGTTTTGAGTAAAATAAGTTTCCATTCCCCCCGTGATGTTCTAGTATTTTGCTGAGAAAATCATTCTTGGTGCTTCATTATCTAAAGATAAAAAGCTGTTATGAAGGGTTGGCACAGTAATCAACAATCTCATGGAAAGTAGTAATTCATATTTCACTAAATTTTGGCTTTGATAAATGGCATGTGCAGTAAGGCAGCTTTTAGTTTTGCATACTCATTAAATTTCCGTGACTAGAACAGTGCTGAATAATTTCCTATTAAATTTTGACGATAAATGAAGTTTTACATTTCTTGAAGTTTGATTTCTTTTGCTTATTTCTAAATTCCATCTAGGTTATTATGGAAAGGACACAAATATTGGACCTAGATAAAGTCTGTTGAACTTCGTCCAATTAAAGTCTCTTGATACAGTGAGACCAGCAGTTGATTTTAAAAGGATTTGTATAGTAGTCTTAAAATTATTCATGAATAACCACTTCAGAGAGTTTAAGCTCTGAAACTATTTACTTTCTTACTTCTGAGTCACACATAGAAGTATGGAACTGTTTTGTTTGGTATTTACAAAGATGTGAGGACTATTTGTAAAACCCATATGCGGCAGTAATTTTGAGAAAATTCCCAGATCTTCAGGGTGTGGTGTGTGCATGTGTGTGTGTGTGTACTGAAACACAAATGTGCTTGTTATGTTCATTTGAGCCATCTCTTCTGATTTTTTCCCTTGGACTTCAATCGAATGAGAATTTTAAAACTATAATAAAGTCTCTGTTTCATCTACTGTCCTTTCTGCTCCCTCCTTCCCTTAGTCTGTCTCTTCCTTTTCTTTCTATTTTGTGTGTGCATCTTCATGTTGGGTACATATGTGTAGTGTGTGTGTTGAGGACTGGAGGGCATGCCCTTGGGAGACTTCCACCCTGTTTCTTGAGCCAAGGTCTCCTTGGCTTGGAACTTACCAAGTAGGCTAGGCTGGCTGGCCAGAGAGCCTCATAGACCCACTTGTCTCTGCCTCCCTAGGGCTAGGATTACAGCAAACATGTGGCACCACACCCTTTTTCTTTTGTTTTTACATGGGTTCTGGGATTGAATTTGGGTTCTTACTCTTGATCAGCAATTGCTTTACTAACTGGACTCTATCCCCAGCCCTGAACGTGATTGCACACTTATGGGTTACAGTTTATTTAGACGAGGGAACTTGCTATTAAATGGATTGATCAAATCTCTTGATTCTTATTTTGTGAACACCAGCATAATCCCTTCCCCCCACCCCCCAAAAATCACCATTCTCAAGGATTACCAACAGTCCAGGGTTTCTGTTGGTCATCTTTTCCATATAGTGTCAGTGGTAATTACTATTTTCATTATGTCGTCATGCTATGGTTTTCTGGAAACAAGGAGTGCTGAGCATTTCTACTGACAGATACAGTTCTTTATGTGAACTAGACCAGATTCTGAAAGTAGTTCAGTGACCTTACATGCTTATCCAATTTGGGCTGTAATTTCAAGTTCACAGCTCAACAGTGTCAGCAAGGCAATTAAATCACCCAGAGAGGACCCAACTTTCCATGTCAATTGAAGGAAGCATTTTTCCTTTGTCAGAAATTGGTTAGGGGCTGGCAACTCTTGCAGAGGACCCTGGTTCAAATACCAGTACCCACATGGTGGCTAACATTCCAGGGAATCCAACACTCTCTTCTGACCTCCAAGGACATGAATGAACGTCCATACATGTAGGCAAAACACTCATATGCATAAAATTTTAAATTGGTTTGTAGACATTATGAGACAAATTTGTTATTTAATCTTTTCCTATTTACTAAATATTATGGTATCTTTGGGACACCAAAACTGTCTATTGAAACAGTTCTTAAGACTTTTTTGCCAAAATATGTCTTTGTAGTTCCACAAATTTTTATTAATGTATTATCATGCCAGATTCCATGATCATTTATAGTAGTTTCCAAGCATGTTCTTAAGTTTTCTAGAAATTCATTTGTCTACTTTTAGAAGAATGTTCAAAGACAGCAAACAATAGCTGTTATTTCTAAAACTATTTTATGTAATTAATATTAACCCACTGATTGTGTCTGTTATTTAAAATTGGTTTATTGGTTGCTTGTTTGTGCATTTTACCAGTGTTACATTGAGTGCATTTATCTTCTGATTTTGACTAACATAGGCTGAATGGAAGGAGGTTAATGTGTTGCGATTACATTTTATTTTAAAATAATACCCAAACTGTTTTTGATAACATTTTATTTTGAAGTAACTTAAAAAATTTCAAGAATATTAAAAGTACCAATTCCTGAAAATCTCTTAGCAGGTCATTAATCCTTTACATTTTGCCCCATTTTGTCATTCTTTCCACTTACCTGTTTATTTTGTCTGGTACCATTTGAAAATAAGACGTAAACATCACTTCCTAAATACTTCAGTATGTAGGTAGTAAGTATAGGGCTTATAGCTACAGTATAGTTATCAAAATTAGAAAATTTAGCAGTGTACCATTCTGTCTAATTCAAAGTTTAAATGCAGAGGTTTCAAATCTTTCCAATTGTGCACTTTATAGGAAAAATAATGTTCTAGGATCACATCCAGTAATGCACATTACATTTAATTGCAATATTCCTTAATTGTCCATTAACAAAGAAAAAGGTTTTCTGGATCCTGGCACCTTCAGAGTTATAGTGAAATTCTTTTGTAGAATTTTTATGACATTATTGGTTTATCTGGTATTTTTATTAATTAGATTTGAGTAATACACTGTTTTCCCTTTGAAGTTTATTTGTAGGGAGATGTTTTAACACTGTTTGAATATCCGTTTGTTAAATCACATACTTACTAGCTTTGTTTTCCATTTGTATTTTTCTTTGTAATTCTGTATGGATGAACGATAGTAAAGGAATTCTACAGTAAATTATTCTATATATCTGTTCATTGACTTATATTAGTAGGATAGAATTGTGACTTACTACAGAGACAACCTATTGCTATCGTGAATTTGTTTTTCAGTGTGCACTGTTAAAAGTAGGTAGCGGGGGGCACCCAAGAGATGCCTCTTGTTTGACTTACTATTCCAACACTCCAGGGGAGGCAGAACAGCAGAGCCAACTTAGTAATTTCCATTTGATGCTCCATTAGCCCAGGTTTGGACAGTAGGAACCTTTTCAGCCAGGCCCCTGCACTTTCGACATGTCTCCGTTAGTCCTTGGATACTTTTTTACTTTGGCCATGTCAGTATTCAAGCTTGTCTTAAATACGCCCTGTTTCATACGAAGCATATCTCTGGATCAAATTTGGCTTGCCACATGTAGGAATAGTCAGAGAAAATGGCCCTTTCTGAAGAGATGGTTCTCCAAGTGACTCCAGCTTGAAATACTCAGGGTCATATTTGATCATATTTTGAGATGCCATGTGCTGAAGTTCTTTTCTATCAACTGGATACATCACGTATATATTGATATAATTTGTACATTATATGTGTGTCTATACATAGATACATACCTATATATACATGCATGTGACTTATTTTGAGACAGGGTCTCACCGTATTGCCCAGACTAGTTTTGAATTCATGATCTTCCTATTTCAGCCTCCTGAGTACTGGGATTACAAGTGTATGCCTCCGTATCCCCAGTCGGAATTTATTTTTTATATGTGAAGTGTCTTCAGTTCCTTCACTCATTTTTAAAATTGTTTTGCTATCAAATTCTAAAATTCTTTATATAAGCTACTTAGTAGCCTACATCTCTAGATGCACAGAAGGTGAGAATCAGTAAAAAATGTATGGCTGGATGATTATTGTTAAATTAAAAGTGGCTTGACCTACACCCAGGCAATGGGGTGGTCTCCTATGTGGGTCATCTTTATTGTTTATAATTTTAGCTTTCACATATGGGTCTATGATTTATTTTGAGTAAGTTTTGTAAAAGGTGTGAGGTTGCAGTTAGTTTTTCTCTCCTTTTCCTACGTATATTCAGTTGTTCAAACACCATTGGTTAAAAATATTTTTCTTTCCCATTTAGTGTCTTTGTCAAAAGTCAAGTGAATGTGTGTGCATTGGTGGATTTTATTGTATTCCACCCACCCATTAGTCCATCTTGATGGCAATAACACAATGTCTTGACTAATGCACCCTTATAATAACTATAATAATATTATAGACTTGTAAAATTATGCCTTGAATTCATGCTCTTCTTTTCTTAAAATTGTTTTCACTCTCCTAGGTTCTTTAACTGTCTATAGATGTTTTAGAGTTATTTTGCCAAGATCACTTTATAAACCCATGTGGATTTATAAATCACTTGGAGAATTTGTATTTTAAGAGCATGAAGTCTTCTGTTCCATGGGTATGATACAGATTTGCACATACTGGGTATTTATTATCTCTGAAATATTTTATAATTTCCAGTATAAAATTCTTGTGTATTTTATGGCTCTTAGAATGATGTTTTCAAATAGAATTATTATTATTTTGAGATAAGGTCTCATGCATACCAAACTGGCTTAGAGTTAACTATGTAGCCAAAGGTGACCTTGAACTTTTATCCCCCTGCCTCTACCAAGTTCTGGGATTTTCGCACCATCAGTTTAATGCAGTGTTGGAGATCCAACTCAGGCCTTCATGCATGTTAGGCAAGCATGCTAACATTGCTAGCCCTGAACTAAAAGTTTAAAAATTCTGTTTTCAAATTATTTCCTTCTGGCATATTTAGAACAATGGATTTTTTTTTGAAAAAGAGTAGTTTTTATTAATATTTTTTTCTTCAGCAGTTATGTTTATTAAAATTATAGACTGATGGGCCTGCGTTTAAATGTCATTGTGGATGTATGCTGACTTCCATAAAACAGACTCTTCACAAATATACTCTGGACAGAAGTAAAAATGTAAATAGAATTGACTTCTAAGACAGTGCTATTTCAGATATAATACCCTTATACAGTTTTGACGTTATTTACAATTAAATCAACACTCATGGAGGCCAAACAGCACAGGCATAAGGGCACACTGTGATCACAAGACAGCTTTTTGTACTTCTAAAATAGTTTTATATTTCAGCTATGAACGTTAATTACCACAGCCCAACTTGTTCTTAAAAAGTAGAAATTTTATGTCCAGTCTTATACCTTTCTAGGCTAATTCATTTGCAGGTAGGAGGAAAAACATATTATGCATTCACATGTGACTCCTAATCTTCATATGCTGTCCAGTGTCTTTAAGGTGTGTGGTGTGACGAGCAGTAGGGCCATGTAGGTGAGGAGGTTCCATATGGAAGAGATCACATCCTCGCACACTTTCTTCTTTATCTCCTCCAGGTCCAGCTTTGGAGCAAGGCCCTGCATCTGGAACATTGGGTCTCTGCCTTACCAGCTTTGCAGCTGCTGCAACCTCCTGTCTCTGCTACATTTTAAAATTATTTTAATTGTGTGTGCACGCATGCGCATGTATAGGTTTCAAGGGCTCTTGTTTTTTGTTTTCATTATGTGCTTTTTTTTTTTTTAGGGGTAAATGATTTCTCTTTGTGCAGATACTAATTTGTTACCATTTTTTTAGTTGTTTTTTTTTTTTTTTTTTGGTAGTTTTGTATTGCTAGGACTTCAATAACAAATTACTGTAGACCAGATGACTTAAAGAAATTCATTTTCTCATGTTTCTGGAAGCTGTAAGTCCAAGATCAAGAGGTGGATAGGGCTTGTTTCCCAAGTTCTCTTCTCTTCTTAGTATGCAGAAGATCTCCTCATGTGTCCTCACGTGGTTTCCCTCTGGGTGGGTGTCTTAGTAGCCTTTTTAAAGGCTGATTGGATTATCAGCACCTAATTACCTCATTTTATCTTCGTTACTCCTATCAAGGTCCTCTCTCCAAATACAGTCACATTCTGACCATGGTTTAAGACTTTCAGTGTATGGATTTAAGTGAGGGGCAGGCAAAGGACATAGTTCAGCCCATAGAACACCTGCAATATATTTGCCTTTCTTCTTGGTCTGGTTTTGTCTCCTGTCTCTGTCATATGTATTATTCATGATTTCTTGGTTATCCTCCTGTATTTTTGATGAGACTGCTGACAGCCGATTGGATTTAGTTTATATGGGAGTAGTTAAACTGTAAGTGGCCTTACCACCAGGTGTTGGCAGGGACAGGTACATGTCAGGCTCTTGGGTCTTTTTCTCCTAAGGTTCTGTTTGGACAGAGTGGGGAGGACTGTCACACCAGGGGCAGTGCTCCAAGCACAGGAGGGAGGGGATGAAGCCACCTGCCTTCTCAGTTTCACCCTTTCCTGTTTTCAGTCTGCCAACCCTCCTGCACTATCTTGTGGTTTCTTAGGAGACTAAACTTCTAATTTACCTGACTCTGCAGGATGAAGAAGGAGCCAAGGTGCTTGGCTTTCCATTATATAATCATGCAGATAGCTAGCAAGTTCTTGCTGTTGCCATATGAACCTGGTTCCCCACCTTGTGCGGCCTTTGAAGTCCTGAGCCCTTGGGGAAGGCAGGGTTTATTAGTTGCCTCCCAATATACTATGTTCCATGGTTTCCAAGGATTATCTGCATAATTTATTTAATAACCTTATGAAATCGGTTCTATCATTAGCTTCAATTTGGGTACGAAAAATGCCTCTGAAGTTTAGAACAGAATTCCTAAGTTAGAGCTCCAGGATTTGACTGCAGGTCTGTTTGACTTCCCAGTGTGCATGTTTTTCAAGTCTTGCTGTGCTTAGCAGTGAGCACATTCATGCTTCGGCTCATATATTCTTGTCTAGGTTTTGAAAAAAGCATCAGTAGTTGATTTGAGTACATTTTGTCTTATATGAGTAGCCATGTTATGTAATACAAAATATAAAGTATGTAATACTTCAATAAAGTGAAATTCAGTGCACTTACGGGGCTATAAATGAATCTCAGTTTTTATGAGTGTAATTGGAGTATCTTTCTTAAAAACCTCTGAGAATAGAACAGTAGAGTGGCTTCAACTATGCATTTGGGATTCAGCTGTAGAGGCATGGAGCCCAGAGTGACATGATACTGAAAACCTTCAGAATCCAGGGTTTAATTTTTTGTTCTTTTGATATACTTCTCACAATACTACCAAGTGCCCTTCATAAACTTAATCTTTAGTAGATGTTGATGGATAGACTAAATGACCAATCAAAATCCAGAACTGTGTGTGTACTTTTTATGTGTTGGTACTGACCATTGAGTATTCTTACCCTTTCAGTTACTGTTGATTTCAGTGATGACTAATTCATTCTTCTTTTAGCAGATTGCTTTTATAATTTGATCACCTGTTTGCTGCACAAAGCACAATGTCTCGATCACGTCAGCCCCCTCTTGTGACAGGCATCTCTCCAAATGAAGGAATACCGTGGACAAAGGTGACAATTAGAGGGGAGAACTTAGGCACCGGCCCCACTGACCTTATAGGTAAGGGCATAGCCTCTGATGTTTTCTAGAAAATTAGTTTTTTACATTGAGTTGTTAAGATAGGGTACATGATACTTATTTTTTGAGACAGGTTCTCCTTGTAGTCCTAGCTCGCCTGGAACTTGGATATGTAGATCAGGCTGGCCCGGATATTACAGAGATCTACCTGCCTCTGCCTTTAATCCTACCACATCCAGCCCAGGATACATGATTTTGAAGTGATCTCTATAAAATGACCTGAATAAAAATGAATTATTTGGTTTTTTAACTTTTCTGTGAAAGTCATTATTCATCAAAGTATGTCTACACTGTCTTTCTACAAATCTTTCAGAAAATTTGCCATAGCTGAGATCTGCACCTGTTTCCTCACCTTGAAGCTCTGCTGTTTATATAACTATGATGGAGCCTAAACACTGTTTTTAGAAATAGAAGTGGGTGTTAGTTGGACTAGGGTGCAAATTTTAAGTATAATTTTATGATAGTATATGAACTACAAATGAGGATATAGAGGTGCATTCAGAATGAGGACAGGACGACCCTAGTACATTGCTACTGAACACAATTCCAGTCTCACAGTAATTCACACTAGACAACATTCTCCTGACTAATTCTGTAACTGATGAGGGACCCAATGGTAGACTTCTACAGTCTATGAACTGGAACTTGCTTTTCCTGTTATAACTGCTGGTTAATAGATTAGTTTTTGATTATCCAGAAAATGTTTTCTTTTAAAATATTTTATTTATTCTTTTTAAAAATATTTTAGTTATTTTTTTAATTTTATGTGTATGAGTGTATTACCTGCATGTATGTGAGTGCACCCATGTCGTGCAATGCTGCAGAAGTCAGAAGAGGTCTTTGAATTCCCCTGGAACTAGAGTTAAGGATAGTTCATAACCACTGTGTAGGTGCTGAGAATCGAACCTGGGTCCTCTGCAAGAGCAGTCAGTGCTCTTAACTGCTGAGCCATCTCTCCAGCAGTTATTTATTATTCTTATTTTATGTGTATGAGTGTATTGCCTGCATGTATGTAAGTGCACCCCTGTCATGCAATGCCCGCAGAGATTAGAAGAAGGTTCTGGATTCTCTAGAATTAGAGTTAAGAATGGCTGTTAGCCAGTATGTGGGTGCTGGGAACTGAACCCAGGTCCTCTGCAAGAGCAGCCAGTGATCTTCACTCCTGAATCATCTCTCTAGCCCAGGTGTTTTCTTTTTAGAAAAAGCAAATAGAAGTTTAGCCTGAAGTTAATAATTGAAGTTTGTACTTCCCAGCCAATTATTTTTGCTGCTGTCATTTAAATATGTCTCTTTTTTTGGCATTTTGTTTTCTAGCTATAGTTTTGTTGTTGTTGTTGTTCAGTAAATATCTCATAAAGATAAGCCTGGTACAGAGGATGATTTTGAACTTGTGATCTTCCTGCCTCTACCTCCCAAGTGCTGGCATTGTAAGATTGCACAGCCATGCTTGATATCAGCTGTGCTGGGGATCAAACCCAGGACTTTGCACATGACAGGCAAGCATTCTACCAACTGAGCCATGTTCCAGTCCACATGTCATTTCATCTCATCTAGTGTCTTGTTTTTTGACATAACTCAGTCCAGTTACTTCTTCATCCAAGTAGAAAAAAATCTCTGGAATGCATGAAAACATACCATGTAGCTGGAATCTATTTCTAAAATTTTAGCTGGTGATAATCATGAGTATCAAAACATCACAGTTACCAGTCTGTATAAATTTTAATCTTCCTTTAACTTTGGGCAGTGCTATTTTTATTTGAGCAAGTATATATTACTTTCATAAACCTTGCTAGTTCAGCTTTCAGTCTGCCTCATCTATTGCCAAGAAACCATTTTTTAAAAAAGCAAACTCAACCTGATAAATAATTTAAGTGTTTTTAACTGAGATGACATCTATAGTAGCCAAGTAAAACACTGTAAAAAGTACTTTACTTGGACTTCTCTGAGTTACTTTTAAGAAATGATGCTATTGTATTTCATGAAGCAGATTTGTTAGCAAAAAATGTGCCTAAGAAATGAAGCAATCAGGGCCTGGAGAGATGGCTCAGCAGTTAAGAGTGCTTGCTGCTCTTGCAGTGGATCTGAGTCCAGTTCCCAGCACCCATGCCTGGCAGCTCACAACCACTTGTAACTCCAGCTCCTGGGGATCTGAAACACTTTTTTTTATCCTTTGGGCGGACACACACACACACACACACACACACACACACACACTAAAAATAAACCTTTAAAAAAAGAATTGAAGAAATAGGTCTTATTTTCATTTTATGATATAATAATTGTTGGAATCTATATCAAAATTGTATATTGATTATTAATCTTTGGAGTAAAAATGCAGATTATATATTAAATCAGAGGAACCTTGCAAACTGTTATGACCAGTTGAATAAACTTGTTCTCAGATAGTTTAATGCTACCTGTGCCTTCCTGGGTGTTGTTCATGTTGTCTCTTGTGAGCATGCTTTTAAGATTTCGTGCCTGTACAGTGTATCTGATGTCTGCTTCCATTCCTCAGTTTTACATATGACAGTGGTTATCTGTCAGAGTTTATATTACAAATGACTGTGTGTATTATATGATGCTCTAGAATTTAGTGTTGAGTCATTCTCTTTTTTGAAGAGAAATATATCAAATCTCAAGTCTTTGTGACAGTATAAAATTTGAAAATATTAAGTTGTATGTTGATGGAATGGTATGAAAAAAAAAAATCCCCTGTCTGTAGTTAGATTACAAACAAAAGTATTTTCCATTTAAAGAAAATATGTAGACTGACTTATATGTTTATAAAATTACTTAAGCAAATGTACACTGTACTTACCTGGGGAGATAGAATTTGGAGAGGCTTTCAGTCTCTTAAATTATTTAAAATTTTCGTATCAAAATTTTATTACCAGGAAAAAAGTTGAAGGCATTCCCATTTTGAAAATAGAATTTTAAATTATGAATACCAGTACAAAACTTATCCCTGAAGAAGTCTTTCAATGATATTTTTAGGAAAACAAGTTTATGCAACCATGAATGAGGAGTAGATACTTTAGGGAAACATCTAAAATTTATTATTTTAAGCAATATAAATATGTCTTGAAATGTAATTTCTAAAGGCCCTTTATGGTTAACATAATCACCTTATGCTGGCGAGGTGGCACATGCTTTTAATCCCAGCACTCAGGAGGCAGAGGCAGGTGAATTTCTGTGGGATCAAGGCCAACCGGCTCTACACAATGAGTTCTAGGCCAGCTGGGGCTCCAGGAGACCTTTGTCAGTATATGTAATCTCTTTACTATAGTGCTTTTAAATTATGACAGAAGATAACTTGGATATCTCACCCCCTTTTTAAAAACAAAATTTTATCTATTGTAAAAATAAGAAACAAAACCTTGGCCATTTCCAAATTATCTGTTGAACAATATGTAAAATTAAGTAATGAGAAAACAAAGTGGCCGGAACAGCCTGGATGGCCAGTGTGGCAGCATCTTATACTCTGCTCAGAAGCACGCCTTGGCACAGCCTCTTGGGGCTGCTTATTGGTTAGTGCTCAGCCTATCCTTCACGTTTTGTCAGAGCTTGGTGATAGGCCTGAGCTAGCCTCTTGGGAAGGCTGGTTTACTGGAAAGCTGACTCATGAAGGCTAGTATAGTGACAGTTTTGTTAGGAAAACACTAAGACAGCCTAAACTACCATTATAGAAACTAATGCACAGGTAGGTGTAAGAAAGGAGAGAGCAAGCCAGCAGTACCTGAGCATGCTTCTTGGATTTACTGTGCTCTAGGCTATGCTGGGGGTGCATAGAACATTGTTTAGTTCACCCTGCAACACTATCATAAATGAACGATAGACTGATGCTTTTTAGGAAGATTGAGATTATTTTAGGGAATGATCACTGAATTTCTTCATGTATTTTTAAATCCTGTAGCAGTAAGTTATATTTCTAATTATTTCCCTTCTTACACTCCTGTAGATAATGTAAGAGTCTCATAGTCAGAGGACTCTGAGTGCCTGACATAACTATAGTGTGTTACTGTTCTAATTCTTCTGATTTTGGAAGAAACTTAAATATAGTCTAAAAGAAGCCTTAGATATTAGAGAAAAAACTGATTAGGAAGAATCAGTGGAGATGGTAAGTGCATTTCAAATCCCATTGGGTGTGTGTAGTCATCATTATGTACTGAATAAGAAAATGTTATTTGTGGATTATTTTCCATGAAATAGGCACCTTTAAGGACTTATCACTGTTCTTTTGATTTTCCTATATATGTGCTTTTATTTTCAGGCTTGACAATTTGTGGACACAATTGCCTCCTGACAGCAGAATGGATGTCTCCAAGTAAAATCGTATGTCGAGTGGGTCAAGCCAAAAGTGACAAAGGAGACATTATTGTCACCACCAAGTCAGGGGGCAAAGGAACCTCAACAGTCTCCTTCAAGCTACTCAAACCTGAAAAAATAGGTAAAATTCTCAGTGACTTTTTTCTAAAGAAAATAAAAATAATTTGACTTTCAGACCTTAAAACTGGTAGAATTTATATAAAATGCATTATTCTCATGTCTCATTTGATGTCGTGTGTGTTCATTTTGACAGAACTAGGGTGCTGGTTAGAATTTGCATTGCAGGTTATTTTTTTGCTCATGACTGTTGTCATTTTGTTTTTGAGATAGGGCTTTGCAGGCTGGGTTTGAACTCACTATGTAACATTACTTTCGACAAGGCAATTTACTAAGCTGGTAGTCAATAAGATGTAAAGATGATGATTGTACAGAACTATCTTAAGTTACTAATAAAGCCTATTCATTTGACATTGTGGTTTATCAGTCCTGAATATATGACATTGCTTAATTGTTATATGGTTAAGATTCAAAGCGCAATAGCCATCTGCTTTGGCCAAATTAGCAGTAATATTGTCTAAATAATATTCCATTCCCTTTCTTTTTTTTTTTTTTAGCCTTTCAGGGCCAGATGAAATGCAACCTGTCTTGGATCTGCTTCTAGCCTTCCAGACTCTTCTCTGTCTCCCTTGACTCTGTACTTACTCTTTTCTTATAAACTTAGCTTTTGCTACCATGCAGTGGTTAAGAATCTGGTCTGAGGAGCCAGATTCTGATTTATGAACATAGACTACCAATAGCTGTAATGTTCCAATGCTTACTATCTGGGAATAAAAATAGGATGATAATGTAACCTACCTTATAGGATTGGATAAGTTAAACTTACATAATGTGAATGTAAGACTTAAATAAATGTAAAGTATGTAGCATATTTTTATAGAAAAAATTAATAATTTTTAATTATTCCATGGTTACGTCTGTGGACACTCTCTTCCCTAATACAATATTAAGTCCCTCATTGTGCTCCTCTAATATCTTGAATAAATATACAAATGTAAAATATTTGTGTAATGTGCCGTATTGGTCTTTATTAAACTCAGGCAGTAGTTCTTTTTTAGAGAAATGTAAGCAGTTTTTGTTATCTGTCTCAAAGCAGTCTCTTCAGCATTGTCTCTCAGAACCCTATCTACATTTTAGAAATAAAAATGTAAGGAATATAAAGGAAAACTAGAAATTGAATTAGTATGTGTATAGATATATATGTATATATATATGCCTATAAATATAGTCCCATTTTTAAAACATCTTCAAAAATTGAACTCTGAAATCAAAGCATGAACCTATTTTACGATTTTCAAGACAGAGTGCAACTTGTTAGTTAATCCTTCATTTTGTAATATGTTTATTTAGCAGACAAAGAAAACTTAAGTGAAAGTAATTTTATTTTAAGCATTCATCCCAGGACCTGACTCGTAGTAGATGCAGTGCAAATTTAACTGAACCCCAGAGTGTTGACTTGAACATCAGCTTATACAGAGCCCTGGTTATGTCCTGGCAGAACCATGGTGGCTGAATTAGTCGTTCACACACTGTCATGTAGCTGCTACTGTTCAAACAACCTAGCCAAGAAGCCTTCTCAGCGTCCACTGCCCTCTGCCTGCCCAAGAGGGCTCAGCTCTGAGCCGATTGGCTCTCCATTCATACTGTGTGGCAGCCCAGAGTCCCTTGATAGTGGGTATGTCTGGTACTGACTAGCGTAGCAAGAGCTTGGTCATGTGAAGGACTGTTCTGTCTTCAGAGCTTGTGTCTCTTTTACAGGTTTCACACCTGGTCAGCTTTCCCTGAATAATCTAGCCATTTCCATTGCATGAGCCATGCATTGCTTGGAGGTGTTTGATCGGTTTAAATGTTGGCTATTTTGTTGAATTTACCAAATTGATATAAGCCTAAGACAGAAAAAAACATTGCTTTTTTTTTTTTTTTCTAAATACCATCTAGGACATTTGCAGCATCCATGATAGTGAAGAGAATAAGAAACAGCAAGAAGTGTGCTGTTTCTGCATCATTATTCATGAAAACATGTTAGTGTGCATAGAGAAAATAAAAGGCATTTCCAGTGAAATGACTTTATAGATTATTGAACTCAGGAAAAGAAACTCAAGATGTTAAGTACAATATCATATATGTGTGATGGTTTTATGGCGGTCACATTCAAGAGATGTTTTATTGAATTAATGCTTAACTTGCATGTTGTGTCTTGACATTTTCCAGCCATTTTTCCAAAAGTTGGAAATGAATTTAGAATATTGTATTGAATAAACAGATATTTCAGGTCATATCATTGTAGCTTATTATTTTAACTTGGTAATTTTTTAATCAATTTAATCAGTATTTTTTAACAATGTATAAATAATTGTAGTATATGTTATTTGGAAAATATTTGGTGGTTTTTTTCAGAACATTTATCTCACTGGCTTAATATTCCATCTCTAGTGAATAATGTACAATGAAACCAGAAACCAGAGAGGGGCTACTTTTGTCACTTTAGAGAGCCTTAATATTTTTTAAGCCACCACTAGACATTAAAAGAATTTGAGCTGTAATGCCCTCAAATCTTTTAAAAATATCCATTGGGCATTTTGTATTAAGTTTAAAAAAATAAAGCAATATAGTAGGGTGGAAAGGAACGTGGGAGAGACTTTGTCTTACTGAGGGTATGTTTTTCATTTTCATAGGCATTTTGGATCAGTCTGCTGTGTGGGTTGATGAAATGAATTATTATGACATGCGAACTGACAGGAATAAAGGAATGCCACCCTTGTCCCTCCGTCCTGCGAATCCACTTGGCATTGAAATTGAAAAGTGAGTACCATCTTGCCTTTAGGAGTCTTTATTTCTCAGTTTCTAGGGGTTTTGTATTCTTGTAGTTCAGGGAGTCAGACTCGGGAATATCCTGGAAAGCACAAGTGAAGGCTGCTCGGTCACTTGGATTATTTACCATTACTTATGATTAATAATTTGGTTTATATCATTTATGAAGCTTGGTCAGCTTTGCTACAGTCAGTATTGCTGTTAGTTAAAATCTTTGTCAAAACTACTTATTTCATTAGCTTTTGAATTTGCATTTTATGATTAACAATGTTTTGAAATTTTCATAACTACCACTTTGGCTCTGGTGCTTGGCTGTGGGATCTTGGGGCCCTCACAATGCTAGGTAAGCATTCTACCATGGAGTGGCACCCCAGCCCACAACATACTTTTAATGATATAGCATTAGTACATTGAAATACGTTTAGATAGTATTTGAAATCAGAGTAGAATTTGTAATATGTTCATTTGTGTGTTTCCTAGAATTAACTTAGAATAATTTGACCTAAAGGGGGGCCGGGTGGGGGGGGAGTCTTCCATTTTGTTTATAAGCCCTGTGGAAATTCTTACTTAATCCGGACTTATTTAACTTTGTTCATCAGAATTATGCCAGGTAGGTGACAGCTTCTTTTGTAGCTGAATTTTTTTTTCTTTCTTTTTTTTTCTTCATAATCCCTAGTTTGGCCACTTATGACCAAACTACATAGAGAATCTTTATCCAGTTATCTTAAACAATTTATCTGTTAATTTTGACTACATATTTTCTGGCTTTAGTGATTCTAATTACAGAGTTACTTGTGTGTTGCCTCACAAACATTCATGGAAGATGACATTCATTTTTTTAGTGCTGTTATTATGGCTGTGTTTTAAGTTTTCTAAGAACGAGAACATTTCGCTGATCTTTAAATATGTAACTTTCATGTCTATACTTGACTATTGTTTACACTTGAAACAATTAGCTGCCTTTCACTACTGTCAGGCCCCTATTAAGGGGATCCAGGGATACATCTTAGACAGGAATTGGATGTTGAAAAGCTCTGGAGAATGCAGTTTCTAGTGAGCCTGGATGTCTGGTTAGCACCCTTGAAGCATGGGTCATTCTAGAGCTCTTTGAAGATTTTGATGTCTTTTAAATTAAGATTGAGACAGTCCAGTACAGAATGGTAATGGCCAGGTGTTTGAGCAGTGCCAGGCATGGGTAGGCTTTGCAGCTGACAGAGGGTGCAGCTTCTTCCCAAGGCCGCTGAGAAGTGTGGGCAGGAGAGATCCTTCTGACTGCACCCCCGTAACCTAGAGGCAGCTTTGCAGAGGGCCTGAGGGAGACCAAGGGGTGCTTAAGTCCTATAGGGGAGTCCGACCAGCCATTAGGACTTGTTCGATGCTTGCTGTAGAACAGCTGTGCGAGCCGCTGTCCTCACTCATTTTGGCAAACTGTGCTCCCGCAGTTCTTTTGTCCCAGCTCCTCTCACTATTTGGTTGTCTGTTATTCTCATTATTGCTGCTATTCTTAGAACAGTTTGCTCTGACCCATCTCTGGTGGCACTTGTAAGGTCAGGAAGGACAGGCAGCAAAAAATGGCAATACACAAGGGTTCAGCTTGCTTTAAAATTTCTTTCCTTTCTTCTCAAGAGGTAACGTAGTGTGGCCTGGAACCAGACCTTCTGACTTTGAATCGGGGATCTAAGGCTTACTAGTGGTCACTTATGTTCGGGCCTGGGTTCTTCAGACCTTTCCTAGGGCTATTGTGAGGACCCTCCATGAGGGCAGGTGAGTGCCACAGCCTTAGTGGGGCCTGGTCCTTGTCTCGATGATGCTTTGCCCTTCCCCAACATAGCCACTCAGGAAAAGAATCTCTTTTGTAGTAAGTGTTCTAGTTTCATTTCTATTGTGTGGATCAAACACTCCAGCTAAAAGCAACTTAGAGGAGAAAAAGTTTATTTGACTTATAGTTCTAGGGATTACAATCCATTAGGGCAGGGATACCAAGGCAGGAACTTAAAAGTATAACACCACAGTCTGAGAATATGCACACACACACACACACATGCACGTGCATGTGCGCACATGCGCGCACACACACACACACACACACAGAAAGAGACAGAGAGACAGATCCTTGCTTTCTGCTTAGTGTTCAGCTTGTTTTCCCATCTTTTATACAGTCCAGGGCCAGCCACTACATTTAGGGTGACTCTTTTTGTCTCATTTAACAGTCAAGACAATACCCCGTAGACATGCTCACAAGCCAACCTGATCTAGATAATTTCTCATTCAGGTTCTCTTTCGGGTGATTTTAGTTTGTGGCAAGTTAACATTTAAAATTAGCCAGCACAGTAAGTTTATACAATAATAAATTATATCAAAATTTAAACAGGCATTGTTTATTCAAATGGCTTCTTTCTTTCCCCCCTTTTTCCTCCTCCCAAGAAAGCTACATGTATTGGATTGAATTTTTTTACCTTAGAGACTTTTATTTTCTTTTTGGTGGTGCTGGAGGTGGAACCATGGCCTTGTTACATGACTGTATATCGAGTTATTCCCTGGTCCAGGGAGAAAAAGAGAGAAGGAAAGGAAAGGCTTGAAGTGCAGTACACTAGTGTGGGGCTTATTTTCCTGACCCACTTAATAGTTTTTAGAAAAAGGCTTTTGTCTCTGTAGGAATGATGTTGGTTTCAGGTTAGAATCCTTACTGTCTTTAGTTTTTACTAATGTCATTTGGGGGTTTCTTTTTATAATTAATGGCTGGAAAACCTTATTTTTTTTAAATTATTGAATTAAAGGAACACAGGGATCTTAATATTATTTGCTAGTTGAAAAGTAGTAATTAAGAAGGTTTGAAGAATTGGAAATGCTTATTATAAAATAGTGAACTGTGATCCTGGTGACTTGTCAGACTAAAGTGGGGAGGTGGACTTTGGAAGATGAATCAGCACTTGGTAATTGCCTTGTTTAAGTTGGAAATTCTCTACAGCTGACCAGCTGTGTACAGTGGAACAGTGAGAAGGGCCTATGGCGGTGTGGCCAGTTTCTTTGAATCTGAAAAAGCAAGTGAGAATAACACAATATAGGTTCCTTGTTGCTTTTTGGTGTGAGCCAGGTTTTAATAAATTTTATTGGTAGACCCAGCATGCACGCCGTCAACTTTCAGCCCACAAGATTTAACAACTGGCATTTATTGGCAACTTTGGCTATTAAAGTCCTTCATGTCCCTAAATTTTTCACTGATGTTTTTGCACACGTGGTACCATGATACTTATAAAAATGTTACTAATTGCTCTGAAAAAGTAACTTCACTTTGAATTGAGACTAGGATTTGCTTGTAAAAGGTCTATATTTCTGATTTACTGTGCTGATTGTCACAAATAACATGTTCTTACATAGTTCCAATTGTAATGGATACAAACTATTTAAGCCATAAAAGAAGGTAAAAATAGGCTCATGTTAAGTGAAAGCCTTCCTAAAGTTTTGTTTCTTGAAAGTCACTTGCTAAAGAGAAGGCTTATGAGCAGTGCCCTGGCACTGGAGCTTGAATGAGGTGAGTGCTCCTGTTTTAGGTGCCTCCCACTTTTTGGGTGAGTTGTTACTGGGGAATGCATGTCTAGAGTACTTAATTGTGCATCACTATTATCTGTTTTATTTCTATGTGGTTTTTCTTAGCAACACACATCTGACTTTCTTCTTAGTGTTTCCAAAAGAAACTGACCATTTTCCCAGAAAGCTGCTTTTAAGGAAGACAAGGTGGCAGCAGAGCCAGTCTTGGGAAGAATGGGGAAGAGCCCCAAATTCACCCTTTAGACTTTTGTAAAAGTCGATTTGTGGGCTATTTAGTGGCCAAGTCCAGAAATTGCCAGATTTAAAACCAAAAACTTTCCCATTAGTGTTGAATGTGACATTTTAAACTGTGTTGTTGACATTTAAAGATGAAAGAAATGAGTATAGGGGACACACTCGAAGAGCTGATAGGTCCATTTGCTGTTAGGGCCCTCCCCTGACCTCCACTGCTGCATGAAGGAAGTGTCCTCCTCAGGCAGACACTGTAACCAGGCCCTGATGCCTGGGGGATAACCAGTGCTCTGCAGTGAAGTGTGTTGTACACATAGTGTGTTTTCCAGTATGGATTTTTAAAACCTTCCTGTTGGTTTTATGTCTTATCTACTTGGTCAGATGCCTGAGACTGACCCGGTTTTGGAAGGTTCAAGTCTGAGTTAACACTGCCATCTAATGGAAAACTTTTTTAGCAGCAGCAGGACAGTCAGTAACTGAAACTGTGTTCTGATTCTTTGATGAAAATATTTTGTGAGGTTTCATGGCAGCAAGTGTGGCTCCCAGTCTCTGTTTCCAGCTAGTAGGGTGAAGGTACAGATGGAGCCTGAGTACTCTGTTTGGAGCTTGCTCTCATAGACTTGTTGAGCTGTCCTCTACAGTTGGAAGGCTGGAGTTTTTCCAACCATTACTCTGAACAAGCATTGTTAACTGTCCTGCCTCACTGCAAGGGTGACATAGTGCTCCTTCCTTCCTGATGCTGTGAAGATACCATGGGCATTTCATCATCATAGATTTGAAACTGTGGTTTTATTTCATATCTAATACTGGTTCTATATTTGATAGAAGTGCTAGGCTAAACCATGACTGATGACATAACCTCTCTTAAGTATGTTCATTCCTATTCATTTGTAAAATGAGGACACATTAAATTTGCTTGCTATGATGGGGATAACATACAATGATGCTTAAGAAAATAGTCTTTCAAATATAAAAAGAAGGAATATAAAGTAGAAAAAAGCAATAGCTAGTAATATTTTTTGAGCAGCTTTCCAGAATTACTGTGTACTTTAATCCTCAAATCATTGCCACAAGTGAGCTGTTGCTATCCTCAGGAGTAAACGGAAGCATGGTGACATGAGCTGCCGGCCCAGGCTGTACCACAGGTGGATCCAACCTGGGGCTTTGTTCCTACTTGCTCCTCACCCATCTCTTCCTTGTGAGTCCTGGAGTGAGCCAGCTGCACTTAGCCTTCCCTCTTCCTGTTCATCTGTTTCCATTTTTCAGGTATAAATGTAAACACTCAGTATATTTTAGCTTATTTTAATGCTAGAATATTAAGTCAAGATGCCTTCAGCTGTAGGTAACAGAAAATATAACTTCCTTTGTTTTGAACAAAAAGGGCATTTCTTTTCTCATCTGCAAAGTTAAAGGTGATGCATTCTAGTGTTTTAGTCATGTCATTGAGGTTTGAGGAGCTCAGGTTTGCTCTTCTGATGACCTTCTTGTAAAAATAATTTCCTTTATAACTGCAAAATGTTTTTCACAATTCCTAATGTTGAAACTTGGTATAATGATATTCAGAGGATGGCTGTTTTTTCTGGATTCTCCTTAAAATGTGGTGACCAGCCAGCTGTGGTGGTGTACTCTTTAATCTCAGCACTTGGGAGGCAGAAGCAGGTAGATCTCTGTGAGTTCAAAGCCAGCCTGGTCTACATAGTGAGTTCCAGGTCAGCTGGGGCTACAGGGAGACCCTGTCTCAAAAAGACAAAAACAAAACAAAACAAAAAAAAGTGATGACCTTCCCTAGAAGGGGATCTTTTCTTAGACATCACCGGTGAGAACAAGGTCACCAGGTAAAGGGTAAGAGGACAGCAACACATGCTTGGTATTCCCAGTACAGGTGTTTTAGTGTGGGCTTTGTGGAAAGTACCCTATGAGTGATCATCTACCACTGGTCCTCAGTGTCTGCTAACAGTAGCTTGTGCCTCTGTCTAAGGTAGGCTTGGGTTTGGTTGAGTGATTGGGACAAGAAGACATGATCTCTCTGTTAGAATTTTATCATCCTGACAAAATCTCTCTTATTTTTGTGTGATTCCTGCTTTATAGCTCAGCTTTCTCCCATTTTAAGTAGTTCAGATTGGTGAAAGAGTTGTAATGCTTTTTGTAGGAAATCACTGAAAACTAAATTTCATCTTTAGCTGGCTTGGCTGGGGTGGTTACGATAATTTGAGTATTTGGACCAAGATCTGGTGTTCTTCAAGTTCTGCCTGACCCACTTGGGAGTGGGAGAGGCCGCATGTGTGCCTGTGCTTTCGTCTCAATGTGAAGCTCTCTGGTGGGAGCTGTGACCTCCTCTCCTTCAGCAGAGTTCATTTTGAGGATCTGCCAGGATCCTTCCTCCCACCTTGCCCTGTTAGTGGCCTGGTATGATCCTGACTGAAGAGAAGGGCTTGCCTCTGGAGTCTGTGGGAACCCTGTCCTGCCTGGGGCCTCCCTGGGGTTTCCACCACCAACACTGTGGCTTGTTCCATCCGGGCTCTTGGAGAGCCAGGGAGGTGCTGAGGCATTTCTGGGACAGGAGAATTTCTTAGCAGTTCTCTTCCTATAGTCTTCACTAGAGAAGTTATCTAAACATTAGGAATTGCTTATTAGAAGTTATCTTTTGATATAATTGAGATGGTGTTAGGAAAGTGTAATGGTGAGTTTTAAATGCCAACCACAGAATTGGAAGTTGTGGAGAGCTACATCTTTCAGTACATCAATTGAAACCTTTTGTTTACTGTTTAGGATATAACTTTTTTAAAATGTGTCATGTATGTCCATTAATTTTTTTAAACTGCTGTGTTAAGTGGGGTTTGACTGCCAGGCTATGGGGTCTTAATGGAGTTTAGGCCATTTTGCTATGACTTACAGCTGCTGTTTTTTGTGCCTTGATTTAAAAAATATGTATTTTTATTATTTTTATTTTATGTGGAGAAGTGTTTTGTCAGTATGTATGTAAATGCATCATGTGTGTGCAATGCCCACAGACGCTGGAAGAGGGTATGGGTCCCCTGGAACTGGAGTTACAAATGCTATTAGCTGCCATGTGGGTTCTGGGAACTGAACCCAGATCCTCCAGTAGAGTAGCCAGTACTCTTCACCACTGAGCCATCTCTCCAGCCGGTGTCTTAGTTTTTGCTTTGGTGATTTGGTTGGTTTATGAGACAGGGTTTTGCTGGCCTAGAACCAGCTGTGTAGACAAGATTGGCTTCAAACTCACAATCTTCCTGCCTTGACCCCAGGTGTTGGGATTACAGATGTATGCCACCATGCCTAGCCCAACTACTGTATTTGAGTTCCTTTTGCTTTACTTGAGTACTATGTCATATGACCTTTCTTGGTCTCATTCTTTTTTGTTTTTTGTTTTGAAACACTATAGTCAAGGCTGGCCTGGAATTCATTATGAGACCCATGCTGGCCTCTAACTTAAAGCAATCCTCCTGCCTCATCCTTTGGAATGTCTTCTTAGTGCAGTTCCTCCTCCCTGGGGATACGGATGTTCAACTGTGCTCTCCCACTGTGCTCTTTCTCCACAGTTGTGTCCTTAGTCAGTATGTGTGTTTGGAACTGATGGCTTCTAGGATGACGCTTGTCAGTTCATACCTGACAATTTTGTATGTTACGATTACTTAACTTTCTTTTACTTTTTATAAAAAAAAGCCTTTATTTTTATTTTATCTGTAATGCCTACATGTATATAAGTGCAACCATGTCATACAGTGCCTGCAGAAGTCAGAAGAGGGTGTCAGATCCCCTGAAATTGGAGTTACAGACTTTCATTAGCTGCCATGTGGGTGCTGGGAATCAAACCTGGGTCCCCTGCAAGAGCACCTAGTATTCTTAACTGCTGCGCCATCTCTCCAGCCCCTACTTAACTTTCTTAATCAGTGAAGTATCAAGACATTATATAGAATGCCTGTGACAAAAACAAGGGCTTTATGCCACCATAGACTTCTTCCTAACACCATTAGCCAACTGTGTATAGACAAAGCCACATGATCCTTCACACAGCACATTAGAAGACACTCCCTAGTTAAGTTAAATGGACGAGTAAAGCCCATGGCCTTTCATAAGGAGGGTTCCGTTGACTTAGCTGGGGCTGGGCATGTCCTGATTCTGTTATGTTACAACATTTTGCTGTGAGGATCATTATGATTCCTACAGTATGGTTACTTTTGCTACAGTGTGCAGCCTTGCCATCATAGATAGGTGTATTCATCTGGGTCTAGCCAAGGCGACTACAGGTTTAGGAAAATAATTCTTTGTGCCTTCAGTTATCTTGTGGGCCCAAGTGAGGATTCAGTGCTTTGTACCTAGCAAAACCAGTTTCTAAGTGCCTGTTACAGTGTGAGACTGTGGCTAACAGGAAAGATACAAAGCCAGCCCCCCTCCCCCAAACAACCAACCCATTAACTGTTGATGATGTTGGTGAAAAGCAAGGAAAATTATTGTCTTTGGGTGAAGAGGGAGTATTGGTTATGGGTGAGGCTTCTTAGAATGTGGATGGGAGCTGTGTTTGACTTTGGTGCACGCCTTTAATCCCAACACTCAGGAAGTAGAGGCAGGCAGATCTCTGTGAGTCCAAGGCCAGCCTGGTCTACGTAGTGAGTTCCAGGCCAGCTGGGGCTACAGAGAGACCCTGTCTCAAAAAAAAAAAAAAAAAAAAGAAAAAGAAAAAAAAAAGACTTACCAAGACTCCAGACACAAACAAGTAGAAATACTAGAACTTTTTATATTTCATCTTAGCATAGGACTGCTTACCCCACTGAATCAAATGTAAAGATACTGGTCTCTAAAGTGATGTCCTGTTCATACCATATGATTTGGCTTGCTCAGTCTATGATCACAAACGTGGCATAGGCAGAGAGTATAACCTCAGGTGCTGAATTTTCTGGTTTGAGGATTAGAGTAGCAGAAATGAATCCTGAGAGATGAATAGGTTCAATAGAGTGAAAGTCTGGAATATGGAGCTTAGATTTCATCCTGCAGGCAGGGTGAAGGGCCAGCAAATAAGGTCTACAAGATTGTGTGCCTGGGGGCAGAGTCTGCCCATGGTAGTATAGTATGAAGTTTTCCTGGGGAGCAAATATCTGTTCACTCCACATAGGACAGTGACAGGCAAAAGAAATGATTCCACTTGTGCTGCTTAGTTTTACCCACCACAGCAACATTTACATGAAAGGTAATTAGCCACAATGTAGAAAGTGTACTTCATAGTACATTCAAATACGTTCTTGATGCCTATCCTATATAATTAAAATGATTCATACACATACTTATTTTGGTAGTGTCGGGTGATGTTGGTAACATTTTTGTATCCCTAGTAGTACTAATGTATTTTGACTCTTTTTTCTCTTTAGAAGTAAATTTCCTCAGAAGGACTTAGAAATGTTGTTTCATGGCATGAGTGCTGATTTTACAAGTGAAAATTTTTCAGCTGCCTGGTATCTCATAGAAAATCACTCCACCACCAGGTGAGTAGACTTCAAACTATGAACTATGGAGGGCTTCAAACAGAGGGATTGTACAGTAACTGAGTTAGGTCTGGGCCTACATATGATAACAGTTCTAGGTTTATGAATTCTTTGACCTGGTAAGTACCTAACTGTCTTAAGGTGCCTGTTTCTTCATCTGTAAAACGAGATTCTTAGAAGACTTTGTTCCCTTCCGCCTCTTATAGCTTCCATATGCTTCATTATTTCTGCAACTCATTGAAATTTTGTAGTCTTGGGGACCTAAACTTATATGTATAAATGAGACGTGTTCCTCTGTTAGTCACACAAAAATAATCAGTTCTGTGTAAAATTCGGAATACACTACTCTGACCATAGAGCAAAGAGAGGTGAGGTAGCTTACCTTTATTTTAAGATGAGGTTTAAAATTAGCCCAGAAAGACACAGTTGTATTTCCAAGTTTGTGTTCCTTTTTAACATTTTGCCTATGCTGTTTGAGAGCAGATTTGTAACTTTTTTGCCAGATTGATTTAAAACAGTAATATTTAGTAAAAGCATTTAAATAAATGAATCACTTATACTTAAGATTTATATTCTTCATCAGTCAGCTAGTTAAAGCATATATTAATATAATTTTTTGTCCTAGTTTGTTCTTCATTGCTGTGACAAAATACTCTGACCACTACCAACTTGGGGAAGAAAGGGTTTATTTAGCTTACATATCCCAGGTCACAGTTCAACCAGGACCCCAAGGTAGGAACTCAGGGTAGGAGCCTGGAGATAGGAGCTAGAGCACAGGCCATGGAGGAATACTGCTTACTGGCTTGCTCCCTTGAACCCTGCTCGACCTGCTTTCTAATGTAACACAGGCCCACCTGCCCAGGGGTGGCACCACCCACAGTGGGCTGGGCCCTCCCACATCACTCATCAAGAAGATGCCCCTCAGACATGGCCACAGGCCAGTCCAATAGAGGCAATTCCCCAATTGAGGCTTCCTCAACCCAGGTGTGTCAAGTTGACACTAAAGCTATCCAGCACATTCTTTTTTTTTACTTATTGAGATGAAAACCATTATTAGAAAACATGAGGAAAAGTTGGTATTTTAATACCTAAAGAAATTTGATCTTATAATGTTTTTAAAGCAAATACTTAGAATTTAGTCTAAAATTGTATGGAAGATGGCTTTAACTCTTCATTATGTTCATGTTTTTTCCTGATGTAACTCAGAATTTACCTGTTTTATGTATGGAGCTATCTTAGTACTTAAGGCTCTCTTGTAAGTTTTCTAGCCATATTGTCACAGCTCAAATGGAAATAAAAGTTCTGAAATATAGAGACCTACCTTTGCTTCCTCTCAACTTTTGATAGAGATAAAATATAATTTTATTTATTTATTGCTTTATTACAAGTTTTTAAACTAGCATGCAGAATAGTGTGTTTCATTATGGTATGTCCACACATGTGTATTGTATGATTTTCTTCTTTTTTGTTATTTGACTTTTTAGTTGACCCATAGGTTTTGTGTAACTTTATTAAGAACAGAGGAATGTGTATCGGTGTGGTAAGATTAGCATTATGCCCAGTGTTCTAAAGCACAGAAATGAGTGAGTGAAAGAGGCCTGTCTTGAAATACTGCCCCTTAACTGGCCAACTGGGTCTTTCTATCAGAAGATATTCTGAACCCTCTATCAGTCAAATCATGTATGTAGGTTATTTAAGCATCCATTTTTATATGTATTAGGGATGTGACACATTTGAAATTACCACTTGAGCATTTTAAAACTATAGCTGTTTGTAATTTAGGCTTCTAAGTTTAGATCTAGATAAGAATTTGGAAGCCTGTGTTTTTTATGGTCTTTTATATTAATGCATAAGCATCTTCACATAAATTTCAGTATTCCTAGTATTTTATACTTAATGATCTTGTTAAGAATCTCAAACATTTGATTTCTTCCAACTCATTTCAGTTTTGAACAGCTCAGAATGGCGGTGACCAACCTCAGAAGGCAGGCCAACAAGAAGAGTGAGGGCAGTCTGGCCTATGTGAAGGGCGGCCTCAGTACCTTCTTTGAAGCACAAGATGCCCTCTCAGGTAAGGCAGTTCTCAGAGCCATCTGCTGGGGGTTCCACCAGGGAAACCCGATGCTTCTCCCACGAGTTTATGAGGTGTGACATTCAGTCTGTATTTACAAAAGTAGGGATTTAAAACGTACCATAAATATTTGTTGCAGACTAGGTTGGAATCTCTTTGAAGGCCTTGTACTTTCAATGTTTGTCTCTAAGACGCTTTGACCCATCTGACATGTGAAATGGGAGACTCCTGTCACTCTCTAGGATGTTCAGTCTTCAGGGCTGTTGACAAATTAAATCCCACTGGGCAGAGTTCTAGAATTCTTAAAATGTTTGACGGGATCACATCTTATTCATGTGCCTGATTCTCAAAGCATTCCCTGATGTGTGTTTGGTTTGGAAAGGACTGATGAAAATGTGGCATTGTTTGTAGCCATCACCCCTCAGGCCCCCAGTGTACACATGTCAGCTGGCCACTCTGACATCATGATTACAAGTAGGAAAACTTATTTTAGGAAGAAATAGTACAGCTTTTGATATTTTAGTGACTTAAAAAAAATCAAAGTTGCCTGTAGTTAATTTTTATGTAGTGAAAATAAAATGTATTAGTAAAAATTAATACTATTGATTTTGAAAATTGAGGTAAGGACTTGTATGCTAACTATCTTTAATTCTTTTTTATTACATTTATTTATTTAAATAAATTTAAAATTAACTATTTAAATAATTTAAAAAATTAATACTACTGTTTTTGAAAATTAAGGTACTTGTATGACAACTATCTGTAATTCTTTTTTATTACATTTGTTTATTTTCTTGTTTATTTATTTATTGAATTTGTGTATGCACATGCATCACAGCACATACGTGGGAGTCAGAGAACAACATGGGGGAGTTGATTATGTGTTTCCACCATGTGGGGTCCTGGGACCAAACTCAGGTTATTAGCCTCGGCGGCAAGTACTTTTACCCCCTGAGCCATCTTGCTGGCCCATAACTACCCATAATTCTTAACTACAGAGGCTATACCTTCCTCAATTCAGAAAGGCAATTTTTTTTCTTTTAAATTAACATCTATTTTAAAAACTTACTGTTTTTAAAAGCAATCGAATAAATCCTTCTCCTCACTAAGGGTCTATCTGATAGCTTCCTTGCAGGTAGAAGTTAGGTCTTTGATTGGGTGAAATGCAGATGTTGGCAGGGAATAGAGCAGTGAGGCTCTGTTCTTTGTGTGTGTCTGTGCCCTGTGAGTCCTGATGCTTTTTCTTGTGCCTGTCTTTCTCTGTGTCATTGTTGTCTCAACATCACTTTGTCAACAAGAGGGACCTGAGCACGTGGGAACAGTTCTGTCTTGTCAGTAACAACACAAATGATTCCCATAAATTAAGATGATTTCATATCACATTATCTCTACCTTTTAAAAAACTTATCTGTGTATACATGGATGCTTCTCTATGATTTTTGCTTCTATAAATGGATTCACTCTTAACAGATTTCAAGAAATTTTATTTGGTTCAGTAAACTTATGCAGCCTCATTTATTAGACATTTGCCCTGGAAATATGTTGGGATCTTAAAATCCAGCAAAGATAATGCTGATCAACTGCTGCTAACTTAACACTGTTCTAGCATATACAAAGTGTTTGCAATAGTAAAATTTAAAACTTTAGCTATGTACCATATATATATTTGGTTTTTCTGTGTTTTGGTATACAAGGAAAGCATATTATAGATAACCATAAATTAAATTAGAGTATTACTCTGTAGTAGACGTTATCGTATTGACATTTTTTTAAAAAATATTTTTTATTTACTATTTTATGTGTATTGTGTGTATTGCCTGCATGTAGGTAAGTGCATATTTGTCGTGCAATTCCCTCAGAGGGCAGAAGAGGCTTACCCATGTTGTGCAATGCCGCGGAGCTCAGAAGGGGGCTTCGGATTTCCCTGGAACTGGAGTTAAGGATGGTTTGTAGCTGCCATATGGGTGCTGGGAATTGAACCCAGGTCAGTGCTCTTAACTGCTGAGCCATCTCTCCAGCTCCTATTTTTTATTTTTTATGTGTATGAGTATATTGCCTACATGTAGGTAAGTGCACCTGTGTTGTGCAATGCCTGCGGAGGACAGACGAGGCCATCGATCCCCTGGAACTAGAGTTACAGACAGTTGTTAGCTGCCATGTGGGTGCTGAGATTCGAACCCGGCTCTTCTGCAAGAACAACTAGTGTTCTTAACTGCTGAGCCATCTCTCCAGCCCCCCATATTGACATTTTGATGTATTTTCTTTTGTTTTTGTTTTTTTTTCTTAGCTTTTATGAGTATGCATTAAAATGAGATTAAAACCTGTATGGAACTTTGATACTAGAAACCTTTTTTATTAAATTATTTTATTAGTTTATATTCATTGTGCCCAGTGATGGGTTTCATAATGATGTTTTTGTTTAAATATATCATGTACTTTGATCAAATGTATTCCCCTTTACCCTCTCTTGTCCCCCCATCCAGCTCCCCCTGTTATGAGAATGACTGTTCTGGGAATGCCTTCTATTAATATATGGCCATGCTTTTATAAAACAAAGAAGGTGGAACTCTTAGGAATGGCTTTTACAATATGGACATGCTCTGGGCAAATGGCTTTGACTTAACCTTGCAAACAAAATGTTAATTTCATCTTAGCTTGTTTATAATGTAGACAAGCTCACCAAGCCTTGGACTCTTCTTGTGACCTTCTTAATCCCTCATGACCCTTTCTTGCTCTTGTCCCAGAATAATGTAAGTATGTATGTATTTTGCATATCCAGCAACTGCTGTAGACAGTAACTTTTTGTTGGACACAAGAAAGTTATCCCATTTGTGTTGCAAACAGTAGCTGGATTAAATTGATAACATCTGTTTATGGTGGCATCTGCCCTATTTTAGGTTAATAGAGGTCAGAAGGGACGTAATCCTCTAATAAGACAGCTCCATTTTTACTTCCCATTTTCATGCTAGATATACTGTTTCAATAAAAGAAAGCCAGAGTGAGCCCTTGTTTGTGAGCACATCTTTGAGAGTATGAAGGAGCAGGTGCTCAGAGCAGTTCAGGTCCCCTCTTGGCTAAAATGGACGTTAACTAAGAGTCAGGCTATCTTTATTCAACCATTGCTGTAATGTGGCATCACATAGTAACCGTCTCAGTGTTCCTCTTCTTAAATCACTCCCTGTCTACTTTCATGGTGTGGAGGTGTAGGTGTTTGTATGTGTGAGACCGGGAAAGAGGAGGAAAGAGGGGGAGGGGGGAGAGATGAAGGTAATGCATGTGTCTTTCTGGATCTGCTCTTTCCATTTAATATGATGGTCTCCAATACTTTTATCTTCCTGCAAATCACATAATTTTCTTTTCTTGTGGCTGAATAAATCTGTTGTGAATATATATAACACATTTTCTTCATTCATTCATCTGTTGATGGGCACCTCAGCTGATTTCATAACTTGTCTATTGTGAATAGCATTGTAATAAACATGAATTTGCAGATCATCTCTGTGTTGTGCTGACTTAGATTCCTTTGAATATATTCCCAGGAGTGGTATAGGTGGATCATATGGTAGTTCTATTTTTAATTTTGTGTGGAGTCTCCACAGTGATCACACTATTTTTAACTCCCGCCAACAGTGTATGAGGGTTCCACTTCTGCCCACCCTTGCGTCCTAGCCAGTACTGTTGTTGGTCTTCCTTTATACAGCATTCTGATGTGTGAGATGGGCTGTCAATGCAGCTTTATTCTTTGTTTCCATTGTGACTGAGGATAGTGATCCCTGTCAGATGTGTTAGTCACAAAGATTTTCTCCCAATCTACAGGCTATCTCTTCACACTGTTTTCTTTGCAGTGCAGAGGATTAGAATTGCCTGCCATCCCAGTTGTCAAATCTTGGTTTTATTTTCTGAGCTATTTGAGTCCTTTTCAGAAAGTGCTTGCATATGCCTATATTTTCAAGGACTTTTCTCTAAGCACTTTCAGAATTTCAGGGCTTACAATAATCTTATGATCCATTTTGTCCAATGTGAGAGGTAGAGATCTAGTTTCATTCTGACTCATGTGAATATCATTTTCTTTTTTAAAAATGATTTTAAAAATATTTATTATTTTTATTTTATATGTATGAGGGCATCGCCTGCATGTATGTAAGTGCACCCATGTCATGGAATGCCTGCATAGGTCAGAAGAGGGTGTCAGATCCCCCGTTATGGGATGGTTGTTAGCCACCAAACCCAGGTCCTCTGCAAGAGCAGCCAGTGCTCTTAACTGCTGAGCCATCTCTCCAACCCCCAGGTATCATTTTCTCAGCGCCATCTGTCTTTTCTCCAGTGAATGTTTTGACAGATGTTTTGTCAGCAATTAGATGGTTGTAGCTGTGTGGGTTTATTTCTGGGTCCTCTGTTTTATTCCATTCCTCTATGTGTTTGTTTTTGCTGTTTTTCTTATTATGGTTCTACAACTTAAAGTTAGGTAATGTTATACAACAGCATTGTTTGGGATTGCCTCGGCTAGTCCAAGTCATTTGTGCTTCCCTGTGAAACTCAGGATTTTTTTTTTTTGATATTTAAATTTTGATGGGGATGGCATTGAATCTGTGGGTAACTTTGAGGAATGCAGCCATGCTCGTAATATTAATTCTGCTAGTGCATAAGCATTGGGGAGCTTTCCATTTTCTCCCTAGTGTTTTAAAGTTCTGCTGTAGAGCCCTCCTACTTTAGATTTGCTTTGTTTTCTTTTTAGCCCGTGATGAATGGAATTTTCTTTTCCTGGTTTCTTTTTTGGTAAATTCATTATTGATGTATACTAAAGTAACTGGTTTTTGTATGTTGATTTTCTGCCTTGCTACTTTGCTGAAAGTGTTTATTAGATCTAAGAATTTTCTGATGGGGTCTTGTCTTTAGGATTCTATCAGCTGCTATTATGTGACAAGACTTTTCCTAGGGAGATCACACACACACACACACCTCTATTCACCCCAGAATGGGAACCTATTAGGGACCAAAGT